TTGACACTATTTAAAATATATACTTATTCTCGAAAGTCATGGAATAGTTATAACCATACCAGCTGATCTCAGAATACGGCTTTATCGGCTGGTGATCTTTTAGTTTATTTAACACACCGATGGGCAGTGGCAATCGAAAATAAGGGAGAGGCCTTAGCTGTTAGTCTGGATATTGCGAAAGCCTTTGATCGGGTGTGGCATAGGGCACTAATCTCAAAACTACCTTCGTTTGGGTTGCCTGCGAGATTGTGCAGTTGGGTCGCCAGCTTTCTTAAGGAACGTAGCATTAAGGTCGTAGTCGACGGAGCATTGACTTAAAACCTGTGAATGCTGGTGTCCCGCAAGGCTGTGTACTATCTCCGACACTATTTCTTTTGCATATCAATGATATGTTACAGATCAGTGATATTCATTGTTATGCGGACGACAGTACAGGAGATGCATTATACACCGGTCATGCAAAGATCTCGCGGGCACATACCGATGAGCTCCGGAACAGACTTGTGTTTGAAATCGAAACTTCACTCGATAAAGTTTCGATCTGGGGTGAACGCAATCTTGTTCACTTTAACCCTAAGAAGACACAAGTCTGCGCGTTCACCGCAAAAAAAAAACACCGTTTGTCGTATCACCTCACTTTCAGGGCACTTCCCTTGATAATAAGTCGAGTCTGGGGATTCTTGGCGTCGATATATCTAGCGACGTCCAGTTTTGCGGTCATCTGGAGGAAAAAGCTAAGATAGCTTCCAAAAAGTTGGGGGTGCTCAATAGGGTGAGACGGTATTTCACGTCAGAAAACCGCCTGAAACTGTATAAAGCTCAAGTGAGGCCACACATGGAATACTGTTCTCACCTGTAAGTACCAACTCCTTCCGTTGCATTCAAAGTATCGAATTGTTATATAACTAAACTATAGAGATGTTGCATCTCTGTGCATCTTCTACCGAATTTATCATGGGGAGTGCTTGAAGAATTGTTCGGATTGATACCTGCTGAGATTTTCACCATCGTACAACCCGCCATAAACTAAAATTTCATCCCAACCATCTGGACGAGTGGCGGTCCTCCACTGTGCGTTTTTCAAGGCACTTTCTTCCACGCACAACCACTCTTTGGAATCAACTTCCAGCAGCAGTATTTCCGAACCGATACGACAACATAACCTTCAAGAAAAGAGCATATTCCTTTTTAAAAGGCCGGCAGCACACCTGCAATGCCGTAGGTGTTGTGGGTGACCATGGGCGGCGGTAGTCACTTACCATCAGGTGAGCCGCATGCTCGTTTGCCCCCTGTGTTGTAAAAAAAAAATTGTTTTTTTTTTGTGGGACGCAATCATAAATTGTATATTATATAACTAAACTATATTTGGCATGATTATTCATTCATAGCATATTTTTAATTGAATTTAGTAATTTAAAATTAAAATAGACAAAAAGTAATAATGTTCTATAATAATAATAATGAATTAATTATTTTATATTATTGTATTTCACTTGAATTATTTATTATTGTATATTTTTATGTTTCTGGTGCAATAAAAAGTTAAATAAATAAATTAACAATTTAATCAAAGCATGAAGGCTACTGTGCGTGTCAACTATTTATTCTGTGTTAAAATGGTATTATTCATATCTATAGACGATGGCTACCATATTTCATCGGGTGAGCCGTTCATTTATTTAGTTACATATAATAAATTATATATATATATATATATATATATATATATATATATATATATATAATTATTTAATGTTAACTATTTGTTCTAATTTACAACCAAGTTCAAAACGAAGGAGTTTTAATTCAGAAACTGATTCCGGTTTTTTTGTAGATCCTACCTGTCCTATTGATATACGCTGGATGATATACTGTGTCACTACAGGTTATTAGATGGACATTAAGTTTTTAGTTATCCTAAGTTTTTCATCCTTACTAATATTATAAATATAAGAGTCAATTTGTTTGTTTGTTACTTTACAGCGCCTTAACAGTTTAATCAATCACTATGAAATTTGTTATATATATTAGAAAAGGATGTAGATTATTGTTTAACCAGGTTAATAAATATATCCCAGTTACGCGGACGAAGTCGCAGGTAAAAGCTAGTAACATAATTTTATTGAAATTGAAGTAATTAGTATATATACTAGGGTACTTAAGAGTACACTGTTAAGTCCTTAGTTCGATTTTCACGGTAAATGTATGAAAAAAAAACTTTCTAATAATATTATGTGTACCTACATTATGATAGTTTTTTTTTCAGTGAAAGTCCCATCGAAAACGGCTTAGAAAATATTATAATTTTATGAATTCTTAATCATTTCTAGATTTTAGCTTATAAAATGATTTATTTCTAATACAACATTTCTTGTTATATGATATGTTTTAATATTATATATATGTGTATATGTTTTAATTCTGATGTAGAAATCAAGTTTCCGGAATCGGTGTATATGAATGAATTTTGTGACGTTGCTAAAATGACTATATTTTCGCAACAAATTTTAGGTATAAAATGTTCTATTTGTGAAATTTTCGAAAAAGTGAAACGTGCTTAGAGAAATTTTTCTATTTTTTTTTAAGAAATATTATATAATAGTTTTAATATTTGAGAAGTGTATACTGGTATGTAAGGTACATAATTATATCAAAATATATGAATGAATGAATATCGAGGCATAGAATGGGCCACCGCTTTCCTTACCGTAGATGTCGTAAGCGGTGACTAAGGGAACTTAATGGCCGAGGGATGGGCAGCAGTGTCCCACTTATAACATCACCAAAGCCTAACTGTGATTGCCAACCCAACTGCCAAGCGTGACAACTTCTGGGAATCCTAAGCCCCTCCCCCCCCTCCGCTTTTGTGCCCCCTTTGTTCAGTAGTTCAGTTCTCTCATAATAAAACAGAATTTCTTCCTGGAAAAATTAGTATGGGAAGAATATAGGAACAAAATATTTATTGCAAATAAAGGATAATCAAATTGGTTTTAAGGTTACCGAATTTTTATTTTATTATTTTTATTGCATAATAGGTAAACATGTAAGAAAAAAAATACATTCGAATTGTGAAGTTATTTCTTTTTGAAGTTGGTTGATTATAAAAGAACTCGATTGATTAGATTGTCTATAGATATTTCACGAAATGTACGAGATAAAAGTAAGAGGGAATGATATAATTATTTAATAAGTTCTATAATAGAATCTACTTCAAAAGTATTTGAACGTCGAGAGATAAAATTTAAGGCATTGCCTTATATTGCATTTAGAATCAATTTTCATTTTTTTTATACAACTTAAAAGGGCAAACAAGCTGACGGCCCACCTGATGGAAAGTGATAACCGTCGCCTATAAACATGAGCAGTACCATGGACATAACAGAGTATACTGTTTCGCCCATGATACCCCCCATTCGTTGCCATTCCTGAGGACTTAGATGTTGTTCCTCTGTACCCTGTAAGTTCACGCTATATCCCACTCTTCAAACTGAAACACAACCATGCAAACACAACTGCTTTACGGTTAAAACACGAATGGGACAGAGGTACCCAAGTAAACGACTACATTAAATTGCCCGTTTAATAAAAAATCTTTATAATTAAGTTTTCTTATAAATTATAATTGAAGCTGCTTACAAAAGTTTATATTTTTAAACTTTTTTACGGTTTTAAATTCGACTGTTTCTTGTGGCTATGACATGCAAATCTGAACGAACTGAGTGGCGCAAATTCTAAACCGATTTTGAATATTATTTTTATAATCGATAGGATTTATTTCTGTGTTGGTCCCATATTAATTTCGTAATGATCGAAAGAACAGTATTTATCCAATGGTAGGAAATCATTTATGATGTTGTTGTAAAAACAAAACACCGACTTTAACCGTGTCAAAATCAGTTATATTAAAAAAAATTGTTAAATTTTTATGGAAATCTAAAAAAGTATCCTTTTAGATAAAAGAGACTTTTATACCACTGATGTGGCAAACAAGCACACGGCCCACCTGATGGTAAGCGGTTATGTAGCCTATCAACGCCTGAATTACCAGAGGTATTACGCGCGCGTTGCCGACCCTGAAGAAACCTCTTTATCCCTCTTTTGAAGAACTCCATGCTGTAGAAAAAGAGATTATGAAAATCGATTCATAAATAACTGAGTTCTGAGGTAACAAACAAAAAATACAAGCCAATTGAGAATCTCCTTTCTTTTCTTAAATCGGTTGAAAGTTGCTTGTCGTGAAAAAATTTGTTTCACGCACAATTTCACATTTTAAATTCTAATATTTTGTGTTTAATTTCTCTGTTTTGTGTCTACCAAACATCCCTTTTATTGGTGTATTTTATTACAATTGTAGCGTGTATTTTATTACAAAAAAGTAGCGTTATTATTACCTATCTTAAAATTAAGCACCGCGTTTGTAATTCACTGTTCATCCCAAAAGTTTGACTGATAGAGAATGCTGTTAGTATTAAGTCCATCTTTTGTACCATATTTTCTTTTAGTTAATAAAATTATTTAAATAAATAGAAAAAGTACTCATGAGCAGTGATAGTAACTTACCGTCAGGTATATATCGCATATAGGTATAAGCCGTATGCTGTTTGCCTTATGTGTTATAAAAAATAAAAACATATAAACTTTGTTTGCGGTGTAAATTGTATTTGTTTGAGTTTACTTATTTAGATTTATACCCATGTTGTAAATACAATTAGTGTCAAGCTAATTGCAGTGAACCAGAGTCGTCGAAACGATGCCATCGAAAAGACGATCGCGCGACATCGGTGCCAATGGGTGCACCAAACCGTGATCAGTTGGTGACGCAACGCTTCCGGCCTCTATTACCTCATTGTTGGGTTCAGAAGCCCGATGGTCCCATTCTTTCAGCCAGTGCAGTGAAAGGGTCCTCCGATATACTTTTACCCTCCCAGCGAGTGAGCTCGCTCGGCGTCAGCGGGAGCACACCACTATTCGCTCACTTATAAATTCGGTGAAAACACGAGAGACGTCATTATAAATTCGGCGGTTGTTCGTAGCAGCCGACCGATACGTTTTACATTTGTTTATCTTGTGCATAACACCCGTGTGTAGTGGTTTAGTTTCAACAACGTGCCCGCCATTATTAATAAGCGTCCAAAATGAAATTCACGGTGAGTGTGCATTTTGTGATGAGAAGTGTTAAACAGTGTTTAGTGCTCGAGTGTTGCAGATTTCGGAAATTTGCATATGACAGTGTTTATCGGTTGATCGCGATGATTTTTCGACTATTAATTATTTTTAGTGTTTTATTAATTATGCCCACGTAAAATAGAATGAAATTATATTGCGTGTTAATTTTGGATATGGTCCATTTGTATACCAAATTTCATTCTAATCTGTTCAGCAATTTAAACGTGATGGAGTAACAAATATCTAAATATATAAAATATTAGTATAGGATTGTTTACAAAAATGCTATTTAATCTTTCTATTGTAAATATCTATTCTACAAATACGTTAAAACATCCCATTAATATAATATACAGAATGAAATATTGTACATTTGTAAACAGTTATGAGTGGAAAGTAGATTTGAATCTTGGAATGTTATAGCACTGTTAAGCGGCATGGTCAATTACAGATAAATAAATGCAGTGGCAACTCTTTAGCAATCTCAATAATTGCTTTGAATAACTTATAATTACGTATATGATATATAGCGATCAGGAGTTACACATACCGGAGTGAGTAAAAGTAGTAAAAGTGAAATCAAATTGTAATGTGGGCTTAATCTTGAACAGTGCCATGCGGGCCCATCAACTTGGCAATGGAGCCGTTGTAATTCTGATATTAAAACCTGTTTGGGATTCCCTTAACTTATTTGCATTAATGAAAGCGAAACAAACTCCATAAATATATATTTCATTATGTAAACGTTGTCTCTTACTTAATTATTATAATTTGAATCGAAAGAAATTATATAATTTATAGTGTTAGACGTAATATATTAATCTAAATCTTTTTTTATTGCAGATCGCATTCATCGCATTTTTATGTACATCAATGTCATGGGCAATTAACGCCAAAAAGGTCGAAGAACCAAAAGACAAGAGAGAAGCTCCACTCGGGTATGCGGGAGGTGGACTATCCGCGCATAATTACCAGGCACCGTCATACGGCCACGAGGGTGCCAGCGCTATCAGCGTCGGAGCAGGCTACAGTGTAGGTGGAGCAAAGCCAAGCTTCAGTTTCGGAGGACATGGAGCCAGCGCCGCCTTCCAGCTCCCTTCAGAAGGCCTACAGTCCAGTGGTCATGCAACCTTAAAATTGCCACCGATTACTTTACAGCCTAGCCACGGACTTGCTGCTAGCGATCTCTCACAATTAATGAGCCAGCTCTCCCACAGTCTTAACTCTGGTACTTATAATTTGCAACCCGCGGCTGGTGCAGAGGCATATGCTGGTTTTCAACAGATTGACAATGGCGGCCATGAGGCTTCACTTCCTCAGTACGCTTATGCATCTCCAAGCATTCAACAATACAGCGTCTCTGAACAACAGGTTTCAAGTGTTCCTTCATATGCTGCCGGCACAAAGGGTCTCGGTTCTTATGGGTCTACTGGACCTGTATTATTCACTCCTTCAGAGGCCCATGCCAGTTCTGCTGCTTTAAGCTACCCTGCTGTTAGCTCTGGTCATTCGTTCGGTGACATATCTAGTGCAGGACTGTCGTTTGGCGGAGTGCCCAGTTCTGGATACACTTTTGGTGGCGCTTCTGGTCAGTCCTACGGTGAAGGTTCTGTTCCTCACGGTGGTTCTGGACACTCCTTGGCTGGTTTTTCCTTTGGAGGCTCTGGAAATTCTTATAGTGGACCTTATAAAAGTTTAAGCGCTGGATATACTGTACCAAGCAAAACCTCTTTTAAACCATCAGCTTTCGTCGGTTCTTCTATTCAAGGAGATTCTAGCCATGGTTTATCTAGCCTTGCTGGATCACACGGTACTCCGTCATTTGCTAGTTTAAGTGGAAGCGGACATGGCTTGTCTCTTAGTTCTGGAGGTCATGGCGCCAGTTTTGGTGGTTCCTTCGGTGGTTTCGGAAGTGGGTCATCAAAATTCATTGCACCCTCTTATGCACCTACAAAATCTGCAGGTTTCGGTTCTCTAGAATCCATTGCAAGTTACTCTTCTGGCGGACACTCTGCTTCTCCATCTGGCACCACTTATGGAGCGCCATCAAATTCTTTTGCACACTCTAATAATGCTCACGCAGCTTCCTCTTCAAAGCCTCAATACTATGTACCATCTTCGAAATATCATAGCTTCGGTGAGGGGAGTTCATCGTACAAAGCGCCAATATCTAGCCACAGCTCTTTGAGCTCCTATTCATCGGGACCTAAATATAATTTCGGTAGACATGGACATTCTAAGCTTCGTTATGGTTCACCTGCGGACGCACAAGGTTCTTATAGCGAGAACACATATAACACCATTAAGTACAGCGAAGAGCTTAAACCGCGTGTCCATTGAATGTCGTGATATGAATGAATGAATATTCAAAATTGCAAATGTGGGAGGTATGTTATTGTAAATACAGGAAAGAATGATGTTGTGGTTATAAGTTGTGGTCTAGACGGAGAGATAGCGTAGGCGCGTCGCTGGGAAAGTATTGCTTTTGTTGTTATTTATTTGCGTATGTTCCGCTAATTGTCTGCGCGGCTACATAGAAGCCGGCCGCCGTTCTATTAAGATCATTTCTTGCTCTCGTAGGAGTGCTTTCATTTTGGCGCCTTAAATCTAACTTGTTATTATTTACCACACACTTGAAACTGGTTTTATTATAAGTAAAAATCGTTTTTGTAACACGACGAATTAGATTTGTAACCACCGTTTGGAACCATGCGTTTTGTATCCACACGAATGCATGAATCGTGAGTTTCTGTAAATATATTGTTAAGATTATTATTATTTATTATTAGAATTATTTTATATGGATTGTTATTTTTCAAAATAAACCTGTTATTGTAATGTACAATTTATTTATATAATCCTGTTAACATTGTGTCGAGAATTGTAATACGGTGTAATTATTCAAGGAAGTGAAATGTGATGTTACGCCCATACACCATTTGCATGCTGATTTGTTATAAAAGCCATATGATACAAACACATATATATGTTTATCCACAGGAAACATGATCTTGAGTAATCCACACAGGTGCGTGTCGGCAATTTCACTCGGAGGAAAGTGGAGATTGTAAACACTCAAACAGATGTTAAAGATTTGCGCGGAGGTCTCATTTTAATATTATAAATTATTAGAAATCGTAATCTGTTAACAATCACAATAATGATATAATTGATGTTTTGTTTACATTTAGTACAGTTAAATCATATTATATATGCATAAGCATGTTGTAAAAAGTTAGTACAGTTAAAACATATCATGTAATATGATGTTAAAAGTTGTCACGCAATGTGTTTTAATAGTAAGTACTATTTAATCACTAGGTGATTAAATCGTAAAAAAATAATGGACACTTCGAGATGAGTAACTTTAAATACAAAATATGATATCTACATATATTTATTTATAAAAACGTACATGTTCATGAATGATTGATTTAATTTTTTATGTAGATTATAAAAGGACTTCGCACTACGTTCAAAAAAATCTAAAAACAGTTTAATCACCAATTTAATAATACCTCTATAAAAAAATCATGTACTCAAAAATATTATATTTTCCAGAGGGAGACTTTGTACAAAAGTCATTATTTGCTTGGGTACCTCTGTCCCATTCGTGTTTCAATCGTGAATCAGTTGTGTTTGCATGGCTGTGTTTCGGTTTTAAGGGTGGGATATGGCGTGTATTTACAGGGTACGGAGGAATTGTGCATAAATCCTCAGGTATGGCAACACATGTGGGGTATCATGGGCGAAACAATATATTTTGTTATGTCCATGGTAAATGCTACCTGGTACATTACAGAATACATTGTGATGCCCATAGTACCTGTCATATGCTTGCAATATAGCCTATCAGGTCGACTACCACGTGCTTTCCCCTGGAAACCATCGTGGTTAATCATGCTGAATTAACTGACCTGTTTTCATCGTCACCTATCATCACTGGTGCCTGACCAGTATATACTGATAGCGCTGACGGGGTTACCATTCCATTATCACCCATTAAAAAAAGTACCTCTCATATGTTGCTATTCTTAAGAATTATGATGTTGTGCTTCCTTACCGTATAATTTCACAGTTGGAGAAGTGTGACATTTTTCTAAAAAAAATGTCTCATCGGTATCAAATCTTATCCAATTATCTATTTTAAAGCAAAATTTTAATCTTCTTTAAACAATTCAATATATGAGCTATGAAAATTAAAAAAATAAAAGTATAGAACATTGCTATATTAATTTAACTGTATTTTTTTACAATAAGTAACAGTTAAAAATTATATTAATGTCGACTTTCACTCACCGTGTGCAGCCACCAACATATTTAGACGTAAATTAATCTATAATTACGTTATATAACTGCAAGAAACACTCATTAGTGGATAACAAATATACCTAACATGCATTTAATATCTATCTAATAATAGTAATGAAAAGAAAAGATCCCTCAAGTTTTTTTTTAAGGATGATAATGGAATGATAACCCCGTCTGCGTTATCGGTATACACTGGCACCAAGGGGCACCAGTGAGAGATGATAGGTGAGGATGAAGCAGGTCAGTTAGCCCATCATGACAAATTCATGGGCGAAACAGTATACTTGGATATGTCCATGATATTGCTCATGTCTATAGGCGACGATTACCACTTTCCACCAGGTGAGCCGTCGGCTTGTTTGCCATTCTAAGTTGTATAAAAAAAAAGAATTAGTCACGATGGTTTACAGCGGAAAACACGTGGAGGTCCACCTGATAGGGTATATTGATAGCAAAGTGGCTGTTAAACACCATTAATAACCATCACTTTCCTCCCAGTCTCCCCAAGTTAGACCCCCAATGGGGACGTTTCCCTATAACTAACAAAATTCCGTATTCGCTGGCAATATTTCGTATAGATGATAGAATTCATCAACAAAAGTGTAGGCTGGATTACGTCATTACACTCAATTGAAAAAATAGTTGATGTAAAATTTTTTGATGATAGCAATAAAAAGTCAGCAAAAAAAAAATGTAGTCAGAGTTTGAATGATTAGTTTTAAAAGGATTGAGGTACAATAAAGTAATTAGATCAGGCAAGCAGCTACTACTATATACTCGTACCTTAGCGAAATGAAAGCACACTATTCAACTGTTTTATATATTATATATCACGTAACTTTATACGTGATATTTACGCCATTTCTAAATCAGTTTAAGTGATTCTTTTTTTATTTAGTTACGTTGCAGACAAAATTTTAAACTGTTATACAATGAACGATCTATATAAGCAACTCATTTGAAATTTCCTATTGGGAAAAGTTGCTTATAGAGATGGTATATATATATATATATATATATATATATATATATATATATATATATATATATATATATATATATATATATATATTATACATTATGGAAAGTGGTAACCGTCGCCTATAGACATGAGCAGTACTGTTTCGCCCATGATACCCCCCATGTGTTGCCATTCCTGAGGACTCAGGTGTTATTCCTCTGTACCTTGTAAATTCACGTGTTTTAGAAATAATAGATATGTGATATAGGTGAAGATAAAATGACCACCCCCTTGCGCTATTGGTATACGCTGGCGGGGCACTAGTGAGAGATAGGTGAGTTTGAAAACAGATCCGTTAGCCCATCGTAACGAATTCATCAATAATTAGCCACGATGGTTTCCAGGGGGTCCGTGTGGAGGTCGACCAGTTAGTAGAGGGTATATCGCTAGAATTGGAGCTGTTAGATCCCATTACTAACAATCCCTTTCCCCCCGACATGTGATATAGAAGAATTCATTCATAAGACATAACCATGAACCGTTACTATAATTTTACAAGTACGCTGCATGACGTAATTTCACATACAGGTAAAAATAGATGCATTTAAATAATAATGATACATTCATTACAGGTTGTGCAAATAAGAGGTTACTTAATACCTTCATGGTCGGTAGAGTATGTAGCCCAGATGGGAGTCACTTCCATTTACTTCCGAATTCCAACGAATGGACCTCATTATGTAACCGCTATGGTTTAATTAATATTCTCAAGCAAACTTTATTGTCTTACGGAGATCGTGGATTTTATTTTTGCTATTAATATAAGAAATATACAATATTGGGTTACGTTAGTACTGTTTGAATCGAAGCATTTGGCGTTCCATTGTCTCTGCCTACCCTAATGGGAGACAGGCGTGACAGATATGTATGTGTGTATGTATATTTTTTCTTTATGGGTGAAAACGGTATGGTAACCCCGCCTGCGCTAACGGGATACGATGGCGGAGCACCAGTGAAGGGTGATAGATGAGAATGAAAACAGACCAGTTAGCCCAACATGATAAATTCATCAGGAATTAACCATGATAGTTCCAGGGAGGTTGACCTGGTTGGGTATATTGCTAGCAATGGGATTCTCAGTCTCCATTACTAACAATCCCTTTCCCCCCTGTATGTATATTGAGTTACGGTACTGATTATTTTATTTATATTTTCCTACGGATGAAGTAAGTGATGACTAATGGAATTTAATGAACGAGGGAAGGGCAGTAGCTGCCCTCTTAAAACATTACTAAAGCCTAGCTGTTTGTCAAACCTGGCAACAATCGTGATAACTGCTGGAAAAACACCTAAATAGAAAAGACAATCTATATGGGAGGCCTATGTTCAGCAGTGGATAGTTAAAGGCTTATATTATAATAATAATTCGTTACTCTAAATGTATTTAAGTCACGGGAGGGAGGGAGTCATAGTAATAGGATCTAAGGATTTCATAATTAGTAATATATCCTATCAAGTTAACTACCAAGCGATACCCTTGGAAACCATCCTGGTTAATTCACGGCGAGTTTGCTATGATTGACTAATCTAATGATTTAACTTTGTTTCCACTTATCTTCTATTATTAATACCTCTTTAGTGTATACCAATAGAGCAGGTAAATTTGCTATTCCATTTATTTTTTAAAGAAGGTGAAGGTGGCATCCAAAAATCTCGGTGTGCTTAATAGAGCGATGCAATACTTCACGCCGGATCAACGATTAATGCTCTACAAATAGCAAATCCGGCTCCATATTGAGTATTCTATCACTTATGGGCGGGAGCACCTAGATACAGCTTGAACTCTTCGATTCAGTGCAACGACGAGCTATGAGAATTGTCGATGACCCCAGGCTTACAAGTGGCATCGAAACATTAAGTCTTAGGAGATATTTGGCCTCGCTCTGCGTGTTCTATTTGTTTATTTATTTATTCATTAGTACAAATATGTGTACATGGCGGACTTAATGCTAAAAGCATTCTCTCCTAGTCAACCATAGAGAAGTGGCAGAATACTCGAATGCGGTACTAGTAATTATTGATATACATACATACTAAAATTACATATATAAACGAATAAATATATATAAATAATAAATATACTTACACATATATGACATATACTATATTATTTATTTAAGACAAACGGACAGCTATAACAATACAGGGCACACCTAGTGTGACAACCTAAAAAAAGGCCATTTTTGGGAATTAAAAAAAACGTTTTTGGCCTGCCAAAATTCGATTTTTGATCAGATCAAAAAACTGGAGGGTCATCGTATGGAGAACTATATAGAGGAGATGCAAAAAAATTGTCTCCGAGTAATCACTCCAGCAAATTCGAAAAATGCTGTTTCGAGAAAAACGCGTTTAAAGATAAAATGATCGTTTTCATTGTTATAAATGGATTAAAATCATATTTACAGCTAATCTGCTATTCCAGGCTCATATAATTCACCTTCTTCTTCCACAAAAAGTGCTTGTTGAGCTGAAGAAGCTCAAGAAGAAGATGAAAAAAAAAAATCGATTTTTGA